AAAACTAGAGTAATTTTATTGGAACAATTTTTTAAAAATTCAACAGATATCTATAAAGGGCCTACTATATACCAGACATGAGTATCAATGGACAGAACTAACTAAATATGCACATTTTGACTTGAATTTTCTAACAACTAAACTGATTCATAAAAGAAGTCTGTGTTGCATTATGAGGCGGTGAGGTCTCCTTTAGAACAAAGCATTCAAGCAGAAGATGACTAAGATGTTGCATTAGGTTAGACTTGGGCAAGATGCCTTTTGAGATTTTCCCCATCTCTAAGATCTTGTTTTTGTAATTAAAAAAAACGTAAATGAATAAATGCCAAGGAAGAACTTGGGACCCTAAATTATATGCATACATTTTTCCACATGGATAATTTCTAAATGATCAATATAAAAAAAGTCAGACCTTCTTTTGCTTCACCCTGAGAACTGCCTACTCTCTTTAGCATATTATTATTACAACTGGGAACTGGAATATCTTATCAATGTTACAAAAATCCTATGCTCTGATTCCCATCCATTCTACCTGGCTGGGGACCTCTGTGCGAGGAAGAACTTGCAGACTTGAGCATGGAAAGCAGTGGAGTCACAGGCCCTCATGCTAGTCAGCAAAACTGTCACAAGTATAGACAGGTCAATCACATTCTATTGTAAGAGTATAAAACAGAACTTTTAGTATAAAAGTAGTTTCAAGGCTTGAATAAAAGAACTTGCTGAGCACAGGGAGAACTTGATTTAACAATATACAGATTAATACCTCTTGCACTTAAAATTTTCCTTAGTACTTAATGCCTAACATCTGTTCTAGAAAGAATTAATCTTAAATCTTTCCAGGTATGCACATGCACATACCACATTCAGATGAACTAAGTAGTAAATATATGTTATTTTTGTTGTTGTTGTTTTGTTTTTAAGCTTCAGACTTGAGCAAATAGTTCCTCTAAAGTACACTGGCTCCAGCCTGGCCATCACGGCAAAATCTCATCTCTACTAAAAATACAAAAAATTAGCAAGACATGTCTGTAATCCCAGCTACTGGGGAAGCTGAGGCATGAGAATCTCTTCAACCTGGGAGGCGGAGGGTGCAGTGAGCCCAGATTGCGCCACTGCACTCCAGCCTGGGCAACAGAGCGAGACTCTGTCTCAAAAAAGTTTACTGAAGTACACTGGCAAAATTCAAATGAAAGAAGGAAAAATCCCACAGTTATCTCATTAAACAGAAAGAAAATATTTTGAAAGAGAATTATTAATTTAAATTTTATGCATATTTTTGAAGCAAATCACACTTATTCTAGGTTGGAGCAAAACGGCTAGTTTTACAGGATCCCATTAAAATAATGAGAGGAAAAACTCACTGTTACTCATCGCGTGTTACTCTTTCCGTGCATTTTTGGTGTAAGCCTGAAAAATTATGTACATTAGAGTTTCTAGTCACAGAGAATCTGCAAAAGATGGGTAGACTTGAGAAGTTAAACTAGGAAAGGCATTTCAATCTTTTCAAGAAATGAATGACTGACTAGTTGTGTCCCTAATAATCAGCAAACAGGTCAAGGTAGAAATCTGACTTTGAATTGGAGTTTCATCAGTTTTGATAGAATGCTTTTTAGAGACACAGATGAGTCAGAGGCATCAAGTGTCGCTTAGGTACTAGAAAACAAGGGAACATTGTTAATCAAGATAGGCAATCCATGACTCAAAATAGAGCTGGACATTTATTTGACATAAATTTCCTGAATGCCTTCTATGTACCAGACCCTGTGCTAGGCACCCAGCAATCAAAGACAAATAAGACAGATGATGCTCTTAAGTTACTTAGATCATTACAGTATACTAGGAGTAAGAGAGATGCTAATGTGAATGACACAAATAAATAAGCCTAGATTTCAGAGTGCTTGCCAAGTATTCTGAAATGGATGGAGGAAGGAGAGATTAAATGTGATATTAAAATAAATGAAGACTAAAAGTGTGCTGCTTTTCACCAAAAAGGATGATGCTCATGAGCAAAGGTAAAATAAGTGATTTTAGCTTTTTTTTTTTTTTTTTTTGAGACGGAGTCTCGCTCTGTCGCCCAGGCTGGAGTGCAGTTGCACCATCTTGGCTCACTGCAAGTTCCGCCTTCCGGGTTCACACCATTCTCCTGCCTCAGCCTCCCGAGTGGCTGGGACTACAGGAGCCTGCCACCATGCCCAGCTAATTTTGTATTTTTTTTTTCAGTAGAGATGGGGTTTCACCACATTAGCCAGGATGGTCTCGATCTCCTGACCTCGTGATCTGCCCACCTCAGCCTCCCAAAGTGCTGGGATTACAGGTGTGAGCCACGGTGCCTGGTCCTTTTTTTTTTTTTTTTTTGTTTTGAGACAGAGCCTTGTTCTATATCCCAGGCTGGAGTGCAGTGGTGCGATCTTGGCTTACTGCAACCTCCGCCTCCAAGGCTATAGCCTCAGATTCCTGAGTAGCTAGGACTACAGTCACGTGTCACCACGCCCAACTAAATTTCGTATTTTTTGTAGAGACAGTGATTTCACCATGTTGGCTGGTCTGGTCTTCAACTCCTGACTTCAAGTGATCCGCCTGCCTCAGCCTCCCAAAGTGCTGGGAGGACTGATTTTTTTTTGAGATGTTTTCATCCTAGAAATTATGTGACTTCTGTTTGGTTCCCCTGGGAACCAAAATCTGCCTCAGTCAAATGACTGTATTGGATTTAGTAGTTTATCCCTAAGGAATCAAATTCCAAACTCTTACTCCAATATCTCTTTGTTTCAACTAACCAAACTGGGTTATTCTAATTACATACACAATTAGTGTTAGCAAAAGTTTCAAGAATTTCTTGCCTTCTTATCTAGAGGTGTCCAGTTGAAGAAGGACAGAGATAAGAAAATGTACTTCAAACTCCAAAATTAACAGCATACCAAATAAACAGCATATTTAATTTTTTTAGCTTTAAAATAGCCAAATAAAACTTTCTTGAAAATGGCAAAAGAGAGGAAATTGATAATAAAAAGTATAGAAATGATTAGACTCATGTGTCAGTATTTTGTGGCTGCAGTAATAATGAAGATGGGTGAAACTCTTAGTTCAATTAAGACTGAATCTGCTGTTAAGAAAGGAAGGATGCATGTTATATCAGTTTCATCTCTCAAAATAAATCTCAACACTAATACATTATTCTGTTGCTTTTCTGTGTTCAGCTATTTATGCTTATTTCAAAACTGTAATAAATATTTCTACAAAGTACATGTGCCATTTTTTTGACAAACAAATCAATATGGCTCTCTTGCATCACAATAGTAATGCAAAAACAGTCACCTCTCAAACACCAGTTCAGCACAGAACTCTCAGCAAACTAGGAATAGGGAGAATCTCTTTAATATGATACAATAGAGCATCTACCAAAAAACTCTATAGTTAATATAACACTTAATGGTGAAAGACAAAATGTTTTCCCCTTAAGACTGGAAACAAAACAAGTATATCCACTCTCACCACTTATTCTATATAGTAAATGAAAATTATAGCCAGCACAAGAAAAATAAAAGTCACAGGGATTAGAAAGAAAATTATCTCTCTTTGAAGAAGACAAAGTTGTCTATGTAGAAAATCCCAAGGAATCTTCAAAAAACCCTCCTAGAACCAGTTAGTGAGTTGAGCAAGGTCACTGTATACAAGATCAACACACAAAAATAAATTTCATTTCTATATACTAAAATATGTGGAAGCAAAACTTAAAAACACAATATCCTCTACAGTCATCTTAAAGAAAATAAAATCCTTAGGCATGCACTTAACAAAACATATACAGGGTCTTTATGACAAACATGGGCTTCAGGTGGAGGATACTACTAGCATGGGTGGGAATTGGTTACAATGAACAAATAAGTAACACAATGAGGAAAACTGAAGTCACATTTCTCACTGCTGGAAAAGATATCTACAAAAATAGACAAGATTAGAAGGAACCCTGAAGCGCTCCATTTGGATTAAAAATGAAATTATTGCAACGAATTAATGGTTATATAGTTAGCACATACAAATATAAATAGATGTAAACATAGTTACAAATGTGTACATTTGTGTGTGCATATGTGAATCCATACCGGTATTCTCCTAGCTGTGTCCACTGAGAGAATCTGGAAGAAATGACAACCCAGTAGCAACGAGCACACTGGGCAACCATTTCAGAATGTGGTTTTGAAATACTGTTCTCTACTAAAAGAGAGAAAGGTCTGATTTCTTGGAGAAATGTCTGATTCCAGGCTTGGGACAAGGAGGGTACAAGATGAACAGTAGAATGTCAATTGATGGAAATACAGAATCACTATTTGACAAATGTAGAAGGTTGATTCAGGCAGTTGTCAATGTACTCTAAGGGTGCTAGGCAAAAGTTTCATAAAGAAAATACTATTAATGTAATATCTGAATATTGCCCCCCAAAACACTAATGAATTACAAAGGGGAAAACAGTGAGTTTAGGGTAGAGAAACTTGGTGATCATCAACATGACCAGGTGAGCAAGGTTAAGGTCATGGTGGTAGGACAGGTCAACATCATGTGCTTCCTGACATGATGCACTGAGAAATGCACAGCATCAATTCTGCAACTCCTTGCAGCGGAATTTCTGCAAATAATTCATGACCTAAGTTGGGTAATGAGGAAACAGTGCTATCTCACAGAATGCAAAGCCTGGATTCTTTAAAACTGATAAGGACATGAAAAATAGGAAAAGAGTGAGGAACTGGTCCAGATTGAAGAAGTCTGAAAAGATGGGACAATTAAATGCAATAGATATTTCTGGACAGAATCCTGGGCCAGAAAGAAAAAATATTGTTGGGACAGCTGGTGAAATCTGAATGGGATCTATGTATATAGACAGTATGGTGTTGTACCGGTTGATCTGATCTAGAGGGTTGTACATCGGAGCATGTCCTTGATCTTTGGAATACGTGGAGACAGGGGAAGAGAAAGAGAACAAAATTAAATGTTAGTACTTTACTCACCAATAACTTTAACAAAATAAGCATCTGCTTCAAAGTTATTTTTTAGTGTATGGATGGCAAAATCATTCTTTGTATATCCTTTACTTAGCACTACAATGTCCAAGATTCCCTGGAGGGGGAAAAAAAAAGCAAAAATGGTAAGAACAAACTATTAGACCAACTAAAAAAAATGACCATTAAAATGCATGTCATATTGTTTATAAAGTAAATGTAGTCTTATTTATTCATCCTCATGTTTAAAATAAAATCGCTATTAAAATATGTAGTATATGCACACAAGTTTCAAAAGTAAAGTATAAAGAAAATAAAAAACATCTGTAATTTTAGTCTCTGGAGATAATTATTAGCATTTTGGTATGTTTCCTTCCAGTCAAATTTGCATGAAGTTTCAAAGGCCCATGATGTGGACTTGCCAGACCCTTTCCAACCATCAGGGGGAGTACCTTTTTAATCTCCCTTTGCCACCACAGCATTTTACCATTTGCTTTCAAAAACAAGGAGGCTTTGCCAATTTTGCCCAAGGGAAAAAATGTATGCTCATTTAAACTGATATTCCTCTGATTCTTTTCATGAAGTTGATCATTTATCATATTTTTAAACATGTCAGCAACTTGGGTTTTTGTAGTAAACTATGTTCTATTTTTGCAGAGTATTTTTGATGATATCAGTTTGTATAAGCCCTTTTAAATTATGAATATTAACTATTTGACTCTTTCATATAAAATTTATTTCCCAGATTTAAAACAATTTTAAATTGTATTCATTATGTTTTTGATGTACAGAAATTAAAAATGGATTTGTAGTCAATTCTCTTGCTTTGTCCCCTCGTGATATTTCTGTCAATTACTTTTATGGTTGGAATCTGCTAACGAAAAGTGAAATAACACAAGATCTGATTGCAGGAGAAACGGGAAAACAAGGACCTGAATAATTCATATAATTGAGAATAAGCCTCTTATAAAAAACAAAACAAAATAAAATCAAAAATGGGGTAAATGGGGACATAAATGTCCTATTGGGCATTTAACTTTTAAAAATAAATTATCTTACTAGGATACACTGTGATACATTAATTCTGGAATTTAACATTGCTTTTTTCAGAATTTATTATTTTTCAGAGTGGTAAACTGGCATTTCACTTTAGAAAGGGGAAAACCAGAACCTTGAAAGCCTTTCACAAGGTCACCTGGCAACCAAAGTCAGAGTCACAAGAATCTGTGGAAATAGACGCTGCTCTGGTTCACAAAGATAAAAGTCAGCACTAAACTCATTCTTCTGTGATTTTGTGCAGATTCAAGGGTCTGTTATCTGTTGGCTGTAATTTTTTCTACTGTTGAACATTCAGATTTCTCAGTCTTAGAGCATGATGCTTTAGTGGTTTAATCCAAATATGCACAAAATGAGATAAGAGAGTTTTTCATATTTGACTGTACTGATCAGCCAATGTTGTCAATAGATTTGTTTCATCTGCCATTTAACATTAAAAGGGGCTTTCCTTAATTAACTCATTTGCTTTTGTTATGTTGTCCACATTTTCTGGTCAAATGGAATGAAGCTTAAGTGTGACAAGGTGAATGGCATTTAAACTTCAAACACACAGTACAGGTCTGAACTCACATCTTCGTAAATGTCAAAGAAGGTGGCAACCATGGCATCCTTAATTTGATTTAGGTCTGTCAGCTCCCAGTAGACTTTGAACATTCGACGCGCCTCTTCACAGCTTGCATTATTACAAGGGACGTTCTCCAGTAAAAAGGCCTGCTGGTTGCTGTGCGCCAAAGGAAAGGCATTTTGTTAATATAAGCATCAACACTCTATAGCATCGGCTCTGTAGTATTTCCTAGATTCAAAGGAGATGGTAAATGGTACACATTGAAATTATATGAAAAAATCTCCACATTTTTTGTTTACAGTACTGTCATTAAAAAATTGTTGGCTATCCCTTTTCAACCTTTGGCAAAAATACTCTGATTTTGTAGGTGAATTGATTGCTGGCTTCTTTCCTTTTCTATGGAGTTTCCAAGTCTATCCCTTCTTCCTCATTTACTACTCTATAGTCATCGACCCTGAGTTCCTGGACACTGTCATTATCTGTTTAGATGTGTATTACTTTTCAATGAATATCTGCATTTTAACTAGAAAGTCTCATAAACTCAAAGCAATGAATCTATAACAACAGAATTTCAGCAGCTCTCATAGGCGGTAGGGCAGATATTGCCAAGCATCTCTCAGAAAAAGTAAGCATCACATGTTGCATAGCCATGAAGTCTTCCCTCTTGAATCCTACTCTAGAGGCATAGTATTTATGAGCTTAGATTCTGGAGCTAGATTACCTAGATTCAAATTCTGGCTCTGTTATTTGGCAGCTCTGTGGCCTTGAGTGAGTTATTTAACCTCTAAGACTCAGATCCTCATTTGTAAGCTGTGTACTAAGAGTACTTACAGCATAGGTTGTTAAGATGAAATGAAACACTGCAAGGAAAGTTACTTAGAACAACTCCTGGCATCCAGTTAGTACTCAATGAAAGTGTTTATATTATCTTCATTTTTACTATAGAGTGCAATACAATGCCATGTAAAAATATTTTCTTTAGATACAGAAGTAACTTTGTAAAGTGTGATTTTATGTAATAGCTCCTATTTATAGGTGTTTTCCCCAAATATGTATATTCTTTCACTTTTCTCTATGCATATAGAAAATAACAGATGATAGGGCTTAAATTTTATTATTGTTTAATTTTTTCTAATAATGATTATTTTTCATTTTATTTTTCTTGAGACAATCTCACTCTGTCACCCTGGCTGGAGTGCAGTGGTGCGATCTCGGCTCACTGCAACCTCTCTGCCTCCTGGGCTCAAGTGATCCTGCCACCTTAGCCTCCAGAGTAGTTGGACTACAGCTGCGTGCCATCATGCCCAGTTAATTT